CTTCCCCTGCAGCAAATGGACACGCAGCGCAGCCTCGAAGCTCCCTCTGATGCAACCCCTAAATTCCTGCTTGAAAACTACGCTGCAATTAATTACACTATGTAGAAAGGGCTAACGGGATGATGGACAAACACCAGGCAGATTTGGTTCACTTTGTAAGTGCCGGGCAGATGTATTAATGATTTTCCCCTTGTACCCATTCTTTTAAAAACAAGGTATCTAGTCGTGATTTAATCTAGGGACATCCAAGAGGGTGCTTTCCTCCTGCGGAGGAGGAGGAGGCTCAGCGCAGTGTGTTTAGATGTTGGCTGCCATAGCCCAAAGGCTGTTTGAGTCTGGCTACAGTAAGCCTCAAGACCTGTGGTGAAAAGGCACCCGGACCCGGTTTCCACTTGCTATGCAGGTTTGGGATATCTTTATGCCGCGAAGCGGGTTTGAAAAATGCAAGTTTTAACCGTGCCGTTACGAAATGTTGGAGCAGATGGTGTGGCGAGATGGATGGCAGCCGTTAGCGGGCTGTCTGAAGTGTTGATGCTGGCTGAGCACGGTGCGAAAATGGAAAGGGCTCCGTGACGGCTCCGCACCGATAGCAAAGGCTAGCCGGGAACGTGCTGCCGCCGTGCCTGGGCTGACGGAGCAGATCTGATCATGCAGTGGCAGCTGGGGGAAGATGAGCGATTAAAAAGCGCAAAAAGAGACTCAAGTAAGATGAAGCTGTCCAAGCTAAACCCCCTTGGTGCTTCCCATGCTCTGCTAGAAACAGAGGGGCTAAAGAATAACTAATCCACAGGTAACAATTATTTTACAGAGCAAGCCTCTAGGTGTAATAAAAGCTGAATAAAAATGCAATTCCCCTGATTTTCTTCTTTCTCTGCAGACCCCAAGGAGCTATCAGCAACTAACTAAGGCTCCAGACAGCGGCTATGGCCGAGGAGAGCGCGGCTACTGATCAAGAGCAACTCCTGAAAAGGGTGCAGGAGCTGGAAGAGGAGGTGAAGCAGCTGCAGGAGAAACTCCAAGAGGACAAGGAAGGTGCTGGGAGAAGAGAGGCTCCTTCAGCCCCTGGGAAAGCCAAGAAACGCCAGCAACGGCCGTTCGATTTTGGTGCCTATGGCCGCAGACACGTGGCGCTGAAGATTGCCTACCTGGGCTGGGGCTACCAGGGTTTTGCCAGCCAGGAGAACACCAGCAACACCATTGAAGAGAAACTGTTTGAAGCCTTGAAGAAGACACGGCTGGTAGACAACAGACAGACCTCCAACTACCACCGCTGTGGGCGGACGGACAAAGGAGTCAGTGCCTTTGGACAGGTCAGGATCCCCCTCCAGGCTTTCCCGGATTTTTGGGCTCCTGTGTGGGATGGAGATCCAATGGGATTACTGTCCCACGGTGATGAGCCAAGACAGCACAGATTCGATTTGTTTTTTTAAAAGCCGTCAGCATTTAAATCTGAAAATGAGCCTGGTGATGGCTTCCTGCACACAGAATAACAATTTTAGACCCTCAAAGTGTTTATCAGCGATAGGGTTTCCCCCCCCCCACCCCCGCAGGGGCCTGTTTTGAGAGGATGAAATGCGTTTTAGGCTGCAGCTTCCCCAATAGCACTGCCAAAAAAGGGGAGATGCCCCTTCCTCTAGACGCACTTGTTGCTCTTCCTGTGCTGACTGCAGTGCTTGGCAGAGAGCTCTCAGCTGATTTAACTCACTAACACCCCCCCTCCCAAAAAATCCAAGAATTGGATAGCTTCCTGCAGAGTCAGGCAGCTGAATTCCTGCGCAGAAGGGTCTGAGGGGAGCTTGCAGCTAGCGGAAGGGAGCGTGGGAGTGGGAGCTGGAGGGAGGGGAGCAGCCAGCCCGCTCGGTGGGCACAGTGCCAGCAGGCTGGCTGAGCCATTGGGGAAAGCGCAGCCATTCCTGCGCTGCGATGGCTTCGCTGTCGGCCAGTCATCTTCCCTCCTGGCTCGGGAAGTGGAACTGGCTTAGCTTTTGCCTTGCCGGGGTGGTTTTCGCTCAGGCGGGTGGTCTGCTGTCCTTCAAGAGATGAGCCACATGAAATAAGGGCACGGGCTGCCTTTTCTTGCGCCGTTTAAAGCATGCTGGCACCTGTGGTGTTAACTTGTTCCCACACCAGGTTTCCCAGACAGCCGGGCTGTTACTGGACTCAAGTCATCACCTCCAGGGAAAAAAAAAAAAGCACATTATAGCCTAAAAACAGTGACTAAAGTTGAAGCTGTTTCAAGATCATTGCTATGTAGGCAGTCTGCAACTTTTATTAAAGGGATCCGTAGCATCTGCTAGGAACCTTAGCAGAGGCACTTGCAGCTTTACCCACAGGAAAGAGGGGTAAGATTGCCTGATTTAAGACACTTTCATCTGTAGGAGATCCTGAATTTATTTCACAGCAGTGTAGGAAGACTTGGCTTGACGCGCTGAGTACGCCCATCTGCGATCTAATCCTGGCTTTCCTCTTTTTGCAGGTGATTTCCCTAGATCTCCGCTCAAACCTGTTGGAGGGGAAGAAGCTAAATGGCCACAAGGGTGACTCAGAAGGCAAAAGCATGGGGGAGGAGGAGCTCCGCTACACCCATATTCTGAACAGGGTCCTCCCGCCTGACATCCGGGTGCTGGCCTGGGCCCCTGTGGAGCCCAATTTCAGCGCCAGGTTCAGCTGCCTGAAGAGGACGTACCGATACTTCTTTCCCTGTGCTGACCTGGACGTGGCCCTCATGCATGCCGCAGCCCAGAGGTACGTGGGGACCCATGATTTCCGTAACCTGTGTAAAATGGACGTCGCCAACGGGGTGGTCAACTTCCAGAGAACGATCCTCAGCGCTGGAGTGACGTGGGTGGAGAGAGGAGGAGAAACAGGGCTGCAGGATCCTTTCCGTCTGTGCCAGTTTGAAGTGACGGGACAGGCATTC